AAGCAGTCTAAAAAATAAAAGAGCAAAGGCATCATACTTCCTGAATACAAATTATATTAAAAACTTATAATATTCAAAACAATATGGTACTGGCATGAAAATAGACATATAGATCAAGACATAAACCCAAGCATATATGGTCAAATAATTTATGACAAGGAGACTAAAAAATCAAAATGAGGAAGGGATGGTTTATTCAACAACTGGTGTTGGAAAACCCGGATGAAAAGAAAGAAAAATGCACCCTTATCTTATAACACACAGAGAAATCTGCTCCACCTGAATTATAGAGCTAATGTGAGACTTAAACAGTATAATTTATAGAAGTAATCCCAGGAGGAAGCTCCTCAACATTGATTTTAATAACGATTTTTTGGATGTTATGCCAGCTCCTCATGCAACAAAAGCAAAAATAGAAAAGTAGAAAAACATAAAAATAAGAAGTCTTTTAATGAAGGAAAGAAAGACACTTTGAAAGATAGCCATAGGGGGACAATAGCAGGAAGGAAAGATGATATTTAAGGGTGAAACAAAGGCCCAGCTAGATGTGATGAAGAAAGAATAATGATCTGAAATTGGGTGGGAAGGCGGAAAGAGTAGATAGTTATAGCTTATGAACAATTGGAATTTCAAGAAGAAAGGAGTGGCCAAGCCTAACATTGCACTTTGCATAGAAATGGAAGATGTTAATAAAGAGTCATCAGTCCCTACCATGGGCCTCTCTGACCAAACAGGGGCCTCTGTGGGTATGGCTGGGTGGACCCAGCACTCTAGCTGCTGTGGTTCCTCCTCTGTGGGGATGCTGAAGGCTGTGTTAAAGAATGGCATCTGTACCCAGTAGAGGGGCAGGAAGGGACATTCAAAATGGTCCCCTGACTGCAGCTCATGCTTTATAATCCCGTGGATAGTGTGTACCATCACTAGGAATATTCCAACTGAATGCTAGGTAGTCTCTAGGGCTGAGTGGATATGAAAAGCCACATGAACTCAGTCCACACTCTCAGGGAACCACTGTATTCTTCTTTCATTTTGGTTACCATACTCAAGGGTTCCTCTAACTCTGTTCTACAGCTTTGTTTTAGTCACCACCATTCAACTTGAAGATATTCATGAAAAGACTTTTTGAGAAATTTCTGTTCTTTTCCTCTGTGGCCAGGGGTATCTGACGGTGTCCTATATATTTTCTTGTGAATTTTCTTCACAGTCAGATACAGATGCATGGGTAGAGTTTCAGTCAGAAGAAGCTGCCAATGGTCTTCATTTGGGCAAAGTTATGCAACTTTCTCTTGACTGAATTACCAAGCTACAGGCAGCCTAAGTTAACGTGCTCAAAAATGAAAGCGATAGTAAGAGCTTCCGGAAAGTCCACTTCTGTTAATGAATGGAGAACTATCAGAGGGATGTTTCTTTTAAGTATAGCTAGTCTTTGCTCAATGGTAGAAGAAAATCTTTGAAATACACAGAATGCAACTACAGAAATGTTCTCATTAGGTGATCAAATTTTCGAAACATTTATGGGGACCCTATATATTTTTCATAATAGTAAATCCTGGGGTCCAAATGAGAAACTATAGTGTATTTTGTCAAACTTGCATACAAACCGAAAATAAGCAAAGAACCCAAACACAAGTCAGCACCTTGGATTCTAGGCCCAGGGAATGCATTGCTATTTGCCCTGACTGGGAGCTGCACCTGCCTTCCCTACAGAAAGCTGATTTGGTCTGAACCGGTAATCAAGGAAGATGGGCAGTGGGTCACTGTCAGAACAGATTAAGAAAGGTGTCTAGAATATGAAGTCATTGCGGGGCTCAAGGCTGAGCTTGGTCACATTTAAGCATTGCTTCATTTTAATCATGATGAACAACACCATCAGCAAAACTAGGAATGGAGACTTTTTACCAGGGAAGTCAACGATTCTATAAAACCACAAACATGCCTGAAATGACAGGGAATTTGAACAATAATTATGTTCATGAATGCGTCCATAGAAGCTGCACATACATAATTGCAGTCACATACACAGAAAGACAGACCAGAGAATGACCCATGAAAGTACAACAGAGATGCCTCAAATGTAATGTCCCTGAAGCCCAGAAACACAGGGAGAACATAAAATCCACGCATTACAATATTAAGTACTTAAATGACACTAATCTTGCTCTGGCCTTAAGAAAATGCTCAGGAAGTCTGAGATCTCCTCTAGCCAAGCAGAGAGGGCAGCAAGTGCACATCAAGGGCGGGTAGTCCAGCTGTGACGGCTGTTGACAACCTGGTCATGCAAGCTGCTTTTGCTCATGGGACTGATTTCTGTTCAAGTGCAGAACAAGCCTAGCTTTTAATGTGAGCAAATATGAGCAGGAATACACCATGGTGAGGCAGAGGTATTTTTAAAGAAGTCAAAGAAGTCTGAGAGAGATGGTTAAATGCATTTGGAGATATTACTAAAATAATAAAATATTAACTACATTTTGCGATTCCCACAAGACAGAGTTTTTCGGATGGTAACAGCTACCCTCAAATGAATGTCCCTTACCACTGACCTTTTCCTTTCTTTATGTACAGCATGTACAGTTGTTCTCTCTTATCTGTGGGGAATATGTTGCAAAACACTTAGTGGATGCCTAAAACTGTGGGTAGTACTAAATCCTGTATATACTATTTTTCCTACACATACATACCTATGGTAAAGTTGAATTTATGAATTAGGTATAGTAAGAGAATAAAAAAACTAATGATAGAAAAAATTATGACAATGCTCTGTAATAAATTCAACAGCATCACTACCTTTGTGCTTTGTGCCCATTAGTAAATGAAATAGGGTTACTTAGACACAAGCACTGTGATATGCAACAATCAACCAGTTAACCATGACTCCTAAGTTGCTAAAGGGCAGATAGTGTTTAACATGTGGATACCCTGGACAGAGAATGAGTCATGCATGGCCCAGGTGGAACCCCAACAGGGATAGTTCAAGATTTCATCATGCTATTCAGAACAGCATGCAATTTGTAACTTAAGCTTTGTTAATTTCTTGAAATATCAATTTATTATTTTTGAACCACAGTTGACTACAAGCAACTAAAACTATGGAAAGTAAAACATGAAACATGAAAACACAAAGAAGGGGCAACTACCACACTCTTTATTGGGATTCATTCAGAATTTACAATATATGAGCCTATAAGTCTATGTACAATAGGCTTTGTATGGAAATAAGGTGCAAGCAAATGAGTCAATGTCTTATGCTGAGAAATTTCTCAGTAATTATAGAGCAATAACTTTGCCACTAATGTCTAGCACAACGTAAGTTTTTACCCTCTTTTACCTATTCGGATCTCTATTAAATTTCATTTCTATCATTTGCTCTCCATGTTCTTCACTTAATTTTTCCACCTGGGCTCCCATATGACCTGAGAAACCAAGTAAAGAGCAGGGATCAAAGAAATAATATTGTGTAGTTAATGTGGTTGGTTTGGAGAATTGAATAAGAGATTCAGACATAAGGAACTCGGCATGCAGGACAGTTCTAGATTATTCCCATTTCAATGAAAATATTTTTGTTTGTTTTTGCCCTCTTTCATCTGTGGATATCTCAATGAAATTTCATTTGAAGAAAATGCTTAACTATAAAAAAAAGTTCTAGGTATAAACAATCATTTGGAAACTTTGGATATGATCTAAAATATATGCCAGAAATGATTCTTTCTGTTTCCTAGGAAACTGTCTCAGAAATTATTCAATTAACTTGATTAAAAAATAAAAAAAATGTTTAAGAATGAAAAAAAAAGTATATCTGAGATTCAGTTAATTAGGGATCAAATATAAATTGAAAAAAGAAGAATCAAACTATTAGCTTTCTATCTCAGTCTGGATTCTACTGTAAGGTACAGTACTGCTTCTGTGCCTCACAGAATACTCAGTAAGCAGAATGACCCTGAGGCCTGATTGAGTGTAACTCCAAGTGCCTCTGGACTTTGCCATGGACCTTGGGACCCTACCCTAGGAGTTCCTTTAAATGGCATTCTGTAAGGATGCACCCAGTACTAAGTTCTGTGGTTTTCAATAACACAGAGACGCTTACTCAAGGATTCTTGCCAATTTTACATTACATTGTAATGTCATTGACTACACCAATATGTACATAAATAATACTGCTTTCAGTATTAGCTTTCCTTGAAATATAACAGACAATGAGCTTTCTGATTCTCACCAAAGTCCCACTGTAAGTCATTGCACTGCCAGGATAGAAGAACTCAAAAATACTATGACAATATATTAGCAACATACTCCAGCTTTGGAAGTCACGTTCTGCCTTTCTTAACAAATAGCATGTGATTCCTTCCGAAAGCGACACTTATCCCTGGCACAATGTCAGGGACTACATGGGTCTTCTATCTGCTTCAACTGTGCTGACTCACACGACCTTTCTGCAGATATATTTGGTTCATTTTTCTAATATCAAACTTATTCACCCATTGTTCTTAACAAACAAAGGAGAATGTGACAGTTCCCTGGTCTCTGGTGCTGTGAAGCATTTTAGGGAACATTTTTGCCAAGCCCTCCCTTGCACTGACATGTCTCCCTTTCTACAGAATTCCACAGCTTGCAGCATCTTATTCTAGCTTCTACCTTAATGAGGAGTCTCTGACCCTGTCCCTTAAAAAAGTAGGCTTTTAAGAAAGTAATTAATATTTCTCATTCCTCTGACAAAGCTTCTTAAAGAAACAGTATGCGTTCAAATTAGTTCTTAAAATGCACATTGTGGAAAATTCACTCACATATAGCCTAAGCATGAATAAATGTTAGGTTATGTTCTGAGTGTTTCAATCCTTTTCATACCAGAATATTGAAAGAGAAAATTATCATTTTCCCCAAACAGATAGAGGCTTCAGAATTTTTAATACCAAAGAAAATAAATTTTTTTTGTAGAAATGTAAAAAATGTGTTAATTTTTTCAATAATTCACACAATATGTCTTTATTGTAAAGTAGTGATCTTACTTGAATATAGGTAGAGCAATATTTTCCTTTGTTGTGGTCACTTCTTTGGCAATCTCAACATTCTGGAGAGCAGTCTAGAGGCAGAAATAATAAAAGAAAAAGAGGAAATTCTATGAGCATACCAAATAGAAGAAATGAAATCTATATACTGAAATGTATTCAGTTCACTCATGAGGCAGACATGCATGCTCTATATACTTACTGATATCATGCTGAATTTTCCCACATCTCCTTGTCAATTTCTAGGAATAGTTTAAATCCCTATGAATCATCAAGAGCAGAAATAAGATATTTTCCAAATAACCAATGTCATAGATTAATTTCTGTGGAACACATGGTAGAAAATTGGCTTTAAGGGAAATTCAAGGGGATATTTGGTAATTGGCCCCAAATTTCATTTGCTAGTAGTTGGCATTTGGATCTAAACTGCGAAAACCAAGGTCTTTAGAATAAGACCTCGGTTTTAAATTAGCAATAATATTTAAGAGCCTTCAATGTGTGGAATAGCCTACTGATTTGAAGCCAAGATGTGATGACTTTTTTATGAGACTTAGCTATTAACTCGGTTCTATGTTGGGAGAAGGGATTGACCCTTTCAGAGGTAATGAAGTTTAAGGCCTGAGCTGCAGATTACTCATTCCAAAGGCTAGGATGATGTTTCAGCCTTTGTCACTTAATTTTTAATGATCCCATTTATGTTACTTGTCCTTTCGTGAACTTAATCGTAGTGTTGAAAAAACTCTAAGACTTTCATAAAATGTTAGCCAGATGACGTATCTGTCTTTACTATTAAAGTGGTATGTGGGGCTGCATGCATAGGAGACATTCTGCAACTTAATTGAAAATATACAACATGTTCAGGAGATGGTTCTGAGCTTAAATCCGATTCAGATTCAATCAGATATCTATACATTTTTAAAAATGTCCCCAGAAAAATCTGAAGCATAGCCAAGTTGAGAACCCTAAATTAGAAGGAGCAGAACATTCTCAGGTATGATAGAAATGATTCTGGCCTAACTTCTGAGGGTCCTGCACCTTGGCATAGTCCTTGATTCTGGACTGAGTTTATGTCACCATGATGAGCTTCCCTTCTGTGATAAGATTCCATCACATGACAAAGGTGAGGGGAATTTGTAGCTGTAATATCCCCAATTTGGAATTTTTTTTTTCAGTACTAGAGATTGAACTCAGGGGAACTCAACCACTGAGGTATATCCCAAGCCTTATTTTGTATTTAATTTTGAGATGGGGGGTCTCACTGAGTTGCTTAGCACCTCACTGTTGCTGAGGCTGGCTTTGAACTCATGATCCTCCTGTCTTAGCCTCCCAAGCTTTTGGGATTGCAGGTGTGTGCCATAGCCCCCCAGCCCAAATCCAGAATTTTCAGTTTACCAATTTGAAGAAAATGATCCTGGGTGGCCTGACCTGATCAGATGGGATCTCTCACAAAGGGTCAAAGAAACAGATTGGGACAGATTCTCTTCCTAGCCAGGAAGAATAAGCAGCTGGTGTTGGGACAAGGCTACATGCCTTTGTTTTCTACAACATAGCAGTTAGGAGCTCAGAGCAAACCTGAACTGGCACATCACAAGAAAGGGGAGACTTCAGTCTTTCAAACACAGATAACAAGATTCTGCTGACAACTTAAATAAGCTCAGAAAAAGACCTTRGGATCACACCATGAGTGTGATTCAGTATATTCTTTATTTAAAAGTTTAAAAAAATTAGATTTATATTTTAAAATATTAATTTCACTGCAGTTATTATTGTCACAACTTCAAATATAAGTTTTTTTGTCCTTTTCTATTGTTTTTTTTCCATGAACTAATATCCTTAGCCTCCTTCTTTTTTCTACCCTTTTTTTTCTATATACTCATGGATTTTATTTCTAAATAACCAATATACATCAAACCTCAATGATGAAAAAAAAAAAATAAAGCCTGCCCATGCATCCCACACCAAGGTTGAGATGTGAAAGTTGTTCCCTAAAGAACAGAATGTTACCCTGAGGCCAGTTGACACATGGTTTCTATGGCTACACAGGGAAATAGATTTTAAAACTGGGTCATAAGATGGCCAAAGTGAGCATTCTCACAAGTGCAGTTAGAAATAGGACCAAGTGTGAAAAGCCAAGAAATCTCAGTGCCTGGATGTCTTGGCTTATGTCTTCTGTTCACGTACTTCCTAGCCTGAATTCCTCAGCTATCCACTAGTTTTTCACTTTTATTCATTTATTTTTTTATATCTTTATTTATTTATTTATATATGACAGCAGAATGCATTACAAATCTTATTACGCATAGAGAGCACAATTTTTCATATCTCTGGTTGTATGCAAAATATATTCACACCAATTCGTGTCTTCATACTTGTACTTTGGATAATGATGTTCATCACATTCCCCATCATTTCTAACCCCATGCCCCCTCCCTTACCCTCTGCACCCCTCTGTCCTATCTAGAGTTGGTCTATTCCTCCCATGCTCCTCCTCCCTATCCCACTATGAATCAGTCTCTTATATCAGAGAAAATCTTTGGTATTTGTTTTCTGGGGATTGGCTAACTTAGCATTATCTTCTCCAACTCCATCCATTTACCTGCAAATGCCATGATTTTATTCTCTTTTATTGCTGAGTAATCTTAAATAATATGGAATGCTTCATGAATTTGCATGTCATCCTTGTACAAGGGCCATGCTCATCTCCTCTGCATGGTTCCAGTTCTAGTATATGTGCTGCCAAAGCAACAAGCGAGCACTCATTTTCGCTTTCAAACAAGTAACGGGAGCTCTGCAAAGGTTTGAATGTACCTCTGACTAAAACAAGGAAACCCAATATACTTACACACCAAAAGCACAGACAGTACAAAGAAATGTTCATCATAGCTAATGAAATGATTTTTTAAAAAAGTAAAGAATGTAGATATATTAATTTATAGAAGATAGAAGAAAGGACAAATCCAAAGTTTCTATCTAATTAGAATACATGAGGCAAAAAGAAGTCCCAGAACTCCCCACCAAATCCTTCCTCATGTCTGAGCTCCCTGAGGGTCATCTGTCTTTATTTATGCTTTTCTAGGCCTATTATTATTATTATTATTAATTATTATTATTATTATTTTATCTTTTTTTATATACTGGGGATTGAACCCCCCTGGGTGCTCTACCACTGAGCTACATCACCAGCTTTTGTTATCTTGTTTTATTTTTTATTGTTTTGGTACTGAGGATTGAATCCAGGGGAGCTTAGCCACTAAGCCACATCCCCAGCCTTATTTATTTATTTGTTTGTTTATTTAATTTTGTGACAGGGTCTCATTAAGTTGCTTTGGGTCTCACTAAGTTGTTGACATGGGCTATGAATTTGTGCTCCTCCTGCCAAAGCTTCCTGAGACACTGGGTTACAGACATGTACCAGTACACCCTGCCCCTGTTGTTTTAAAATATAAGACAGAGACTTGCTAAGTTGCCAAGACTGCCTGTCCACGTCTTTATATGTTTTTTCTGTATATGATATTCAGGATTTTAAGTTGTGCTTAAGTGGGAGAAGGAGGTAGAATGATTTCTACTACAGTTTGCTCAGTACCAAAACTTGATTTCCATGTTTAACCTAAATATTTAACTAGAAAAGGTGAACATACAATTTAAGAGCATATGTTTGACTTTTTAAATACATTGCTAATTTCGGTTATTCAAGGAGTGTTTTTCAATAGAAATATATCAATATTAACTGTGTGACTTATAATTTTTTTGGAAAATAAACTTATTTTTTTATTCACTGAAAAATTAAGATACAAATATCACTAAGAAAAACRAATTCAGCCATAATGGCAAACAGAAAAATTAATAGAAGAAAATAAAATTAATAMAATTTAAAGTATTTTGGAATACTTATCATGTGTGTGAAAATTTAAGAGTCACTCTTTCTGTTGTATTATTTTTTAATTTTGTTTTAGTTATACATAGACACAATACCTTTGTTTTGTTTACTTACTTTTATGTGGTGCTGAGGATTGAACCCAGCACCTGACACATGCAAGGCAAGCGCTCTACCATTGAGCCACAACCCTATCCCCTGGTGTATTATTTAATGAGGTAAGTCTTTATCAAAATAYTAATTGTGTTTTAAAATAGTGTTTTATAATAGGCTTTATAAAATAAAATCATCCCTCTTCTACCAAAAGGTAAATTCTTATATATTTTTTAAACTAATCTTTCTTACATTATGAACAATAAGAATTTCACAGATTTGGCCCTTTTTAATAGAAAGTCATAATTTGAAAACCATTATCAGTTTCAACATTACAAAAACAATAAGAGGACTGGGGTTGTGGCTCAGTGGTAGAGTGCTTACCTAGCACGCATCGGGCATTGGGTTTGATCTTCAGCACCACATAAAAATAAAATAAAGGTGTTGTGTCTACCAACTACCAAAAAAACAAACCTTTAAAAAACAACAAGAAGAAGAAATGATCACTTATACAATCACAATAATTACAATTCTTTCTTCCCTAAACTCACTTCAGTACCCTGTTGTAGTTACACACACAGACACACACAGACACACACASAGACACACACACACACACACACACACACGTATACAGTTTGTGTCCTACAATTATTAGTCTTTTTGTTACAAGATGAAGTGTCTTGTAACTGTTGACAACCTCAAAATAACTTTCTCATCAATGAGTATAAGCATGTATAGCAGAGTCTTATTACATACATGGTTCAGGATTTGTGAGCAAGAGGAAGTTTGTGTACTAAAAGACATTTCAAACTGAGGATGATTTGCAAATATTACGTTTTTTAAAACATTTTCTTCAAGAATGTAACAATTATTTTATGTTATTTATAAAAAAGTAATGAGCTGTTCAGTGATATTTTATTGAATTTCTTACACTTCAGAAGGTATTTTGTAAGACTATTGTGTCATGGCAATGAACTGATTCGTCAGAATCAACTTAGAATGACATACAGACAGGGAGAAATCACATCTTTCATGTGATTATAATCTAAAGAGAGTATAAGGACAGTCACAAATGTCATTCCTTCACTGTATCCAGATCCCATTGCAATGGTATATCTTAAGAACATGGTCCAGCTGCACATCACTTACATCTGTGCTGGGTTTGGTCAGTACTTTGCAGTAACAGGGAAAATATGACAACCATACAATTGGGGTTCAAGAAGCTTTGCAAATATCCATGACCTCTTAGAGCTTATCCCGTGGTCATTTGAGAACTCTGTAACAAGTTACTCTGACAAAAGACCACCAGTTGACCCATAGGCATTTGAGACCCCAGTTAAGGCCACCTAAGATGCTTTCCTGACCCATAGTCAATCACTGAGGCATGTCTRAATGAAGACAAGAATTTCTCACTGATTCACAGGCACAAGCAATAATAAAGAGATGGAAACTCAGGGTGGCCTTGTTATGCAGTGAACATTAAGTGATGCTTGGTGTAGCAGCAGTGAAGAACTAAAATAATTATGCATGCAATTACATAATTAAAAGACAAGTTCATGAATCTCATACTTACTTAAATTGCTTATATTAAAATTCTTAAGCAACGATTATATATTTATATATCCCTTTATTACATTCAGAGAACATCATTTGCAGACTTCTGCAGAGGATCAGTCTATGAAGGTTTGGATATCCTTCTGCCTTGGACTTCCATCAGCGTCATGACAAAGTAAACTTGTACACAGTTAGTGCAAAAACAAAAAGCCCTGGTCAATGGCCTTCCCTGCAGCCATGTATATAAATTCGTTTCCTATTCCCTAGAATTAATGCAGCAATCTGGAAAAGAGTTTGGTAGCTCATCAAAGTGTAAAATGAGTGTTTAAGAGGCATAAAGTGTTTCACATGTGAACAATGCTGCTCAAGATGAGCCTGTATCACTCTTCAAAGTAAAATGTTAAACAGATATCGAGTCCCCCAAATGCTGCATTTTGTAATACCATTTTTATAAGATTAAAATGCAAACATAAGAATAATATGGATATAATAAATACCATCTTATTGACATAAATCCTTTTCAAAAATCTATAGAATGGGTTTACAATTTTGAACTACATAGGGGATACTTTTTCTTGATTCTTTCCTCTACATACAACTAAATAATTCAAAAAATAATCATAACATGACTCTAGAAGATGAATAACACATGGTTAAATTCCCAGGAACCTAAGATTTTAGGAATAATCTTGCAGTGAATCCCTTGATTTTTTTTTTTATTCCAAAGTATCCCAACTGGATCCCTAATAGCTCTGTAACACATTATTCCCAACAAGTGAAAGATAAAAAAATAACAGCAAATGAACAAATAGATCAAACTTAAAACTGTTCCCCTTGCCCAGGGCATCAAAAAAGTGTTAGTGCAGCCAAGACCTCATAAACAGACACCCTATTCTACGTGTATGACAGCAGCGTGGTTTCCTGCTCTCCATACAGATCAGCAATGTCCTGGTCTCTGGCACTGATATTGATGTGGTCCTGAACCAGTCCCTGCCAAGTGATATCTCCATTCATAAAAACAATAGAATCAGTGAAGCCTGACCAATGGCCCATTTCCCATTCATCTGAAACTGCAGTGGTCTGATCTACCCCTATCATCAGAGGTGTCCCTGCCTGACACTTGGAACAGTAGTATTCTGGTCTGCAGCATCAGAACCACCAGGGTCTAGCCAAATCTATGGAGCAGCAGTAACATAATCTGCTGTTACAGCAGCTTTAATAGGGTATCCACTCAGTAATAAGGACAGCAGCAAGTCCTGTCTGCTGCAAGGGCACAGTGGGTTGGAGACAAACCGACTGGCTATTGCTTTAGGTGCAGCACGCCCATGCAGGAAACTGAGGCAGTGGCATACCCAATTTACTACAGTGCTGGGGACCATGACCACCCTATCCTGAAACTCCCAACCCAAAGCCACCAGTAGCCCAGACAGCACGCATAGGGCTCTGAAGTGCTCAGAAGGGAGTCCAGTTGAGCAAGGAAAATCAAGAAAAACAGAATAAACTTTCAGGGCCCTGGAAATTAAATTATCATTGACTCCACAAGTCACATATGTGGGCCAGGTCTTACATACTAAAGTTGAGAAATGGGATTGCACAATGAAAAAGAAGATGTAAGCAGTATCAACACTCTCCGAACATATAAAATGTCCATCATATAAATTAAAATAACTCATCATGTCAATCACCCTTGTAAAATGGAATTTGAATTAGCAAAGACAAGCAATTGATACCACACAGATTGATCAAATAGTAAAATACTGAAATGGATTTTTAAAAGTCTCAGCATTTAAAAATTCTCTTGAAAAAAATTCAAAAATTGAAAATCTTAGCAAAATAAATAGAAGGTATAAAATAGAACTAACTGGAAATTATGCAATTAAAAATATAACTAAAACTGAAAAAGAAAATCAGATGAACTTAATGTTAGAGAGGAAATAAGAGAGAATATAATCAGTAAACTTTAAGACAGAGGACACAGAACTTAATCTGAACAACAAAAGTAAAATAAACTGACAGAAAACAGGTCATGGACTTATAGGACAATAACAAAAAAGTCCAAATTGGGTACCATTGAAGTTCCATATGGGGAGGAAAGAGTATGAAACTGAAAAAGAAATAAAGAAATAATGATTGAAAACTTCCTATATTTGGATAATGTAGGATAAATCAAAAGAAATCTACATAAAAATTCAATAAAATTAAAATTTTCACAATGAAACAC